TATATATACGTATATATATGTGTGTGTATGTATATATATATCCAGTCTCTCGCGCAGTTCTTAAACTCGCTCCTCCCGGAGTTAATTTCGCGGCATTAACAGTCGAAAGAGTGCGAACAAAAGGGCTCTGAGGGTAGAGAAGACAGATAAGGGATGGAAGGAGGCAAACGCAGGAAATATGAACACACTCATAATGCAGGCGCCGCCTCCACCGCCGCTACCGTCGTCGTCATCGTCGTCGTCGTCGCCGCGACGACCGCGAGAGCAGTGATTCTCTCCCTCGGATCTGAAACTTACAGTCGCATAAATATTTTTTTGGATGCTTTCCGGTGCTCTTTTTTTTCTCTCTCTCTCTTTTTCTCTTGATTTTTCGACCCTACAAAAGTCAACGACGTCGGTGATAAAGGATTAACGACGCCTCCTAACCGATGCGAGAGTTTGAAAAGCACGTAGAAATGCTCTGGTTTTAACCCTGTAAGGTATTTCGTTATCGAGACGAATCTGTTCAAGTAACAGGAAAATGTTTATCCCAACGAGACGGAAATATCATTGTAACAAAGTAATCTCTTATTTCGTGGCAATCAATTTATATTTGCTCAAAGTGCTATATAATCACGAAATAAAATAAAAAATATTATATGTAGATATATGCGAGAAAGTTTAAGAAATATTTCACTTATACATGTGTGTAAATGTGTTTGTTTTTTTTTCAATTAATTTACAATTTATTACTTATAATGTGCAAACATAGCATTATAACCGTTAAACAAATTAAATAAATCAATAACGATAATAGGTTTGAACGAAATAGAAGAGTAAGAAGAACATAAATGCAGTCGATAAATTTGCAGCCTTAATCGCGATTACGCGAATATCGCGAGGATGAGAACCACGTTCGGAAAAAAAGTCAGCGCTACTTTATGTACACGAAGCAAACAAGCCCGCGAGTTCGGTAATAAACCTATCAAAGACGTACGGCAAGATTACATGGCCATCGGATGCAGGGGCGGATAATATCTCTACGCTCTTTGCGGGAAGTTGAAAGATCGGAAAAATATCCGGATCGCCGTTTGCATTTCGCGAACCCGCTCGCGACTCAAACGACGCAACCAACTTCCTCAGTACTTAATTAATAACACGAGATAAATATTTGTTCAACGAAACGTGCCGCATTTTTTTTCGTGATTGATCCATGACATAAAACATGTTTGTATGTGTGTGTGTGTACGTGTTTGTGTAAAAATATTTGAACCAATAATATTTAATATGTAACGTATATCAAGCGTTATAAAATAGAACAAAAGGTTTATTATTATTTTGAATTTATATCTTTAGTACTCTTAATAATGCGACGATTACCAATAGCTAATAATAAGTAAATTTTAAAATTTATATATCTATTTTTATAACAATTTAATTATAGCAAACTTCTTTATATTTTATGTCAAAATCATGACGAATCAAAAAATATAATTAATGCATACTTTAGAAGTTTAGTATGCATTAATTATATTTTTTAATTATAAATTGATCACCTTAAGATTGCTTTGTAGTTGCTCGATGTCTCTTTGGATTTTCTTTTTTATTTCATATTTTATGCTTTACTGCTACTTTTTTGCACATGATTATGGCACTCATCACTTGCGTAATTACGATCGTTTCGATACATTTATGAGTTAATAGCTAATTATAATAAACATAGAATTATATATATAATAATCCGATATACGGAGCCTCAACCTTCTTATTTGACTTTCGCCGCACGACTGACGGTAGGTTGGGCGGATATATCAACATTGTATTATTCGCAGGGAAGGCCAAATTCCTTCATGTGACAACAATTCGATGTAAACATTAGTACGCTATACGCCGCTAACACCAAGGCCGCATACCAATCGGTTTGTTATTGCCCCGAAAAAGATATATTTAACATATGTATTATAATATAAATTTGGCAC